CACCTGTGCCAAGGCAGGAAACTTCATCAGACTAGCAATCATCTCACCTGTGCCAAGGCAGGACACTTCATCAGACTAACAATTATCTCACCTGTGCCAAGGCAGGACACTTCATCAGACTAGAAATCATCTTACCTGTGCCAAGGCAGGACACTTCATCAGACTAGCAATCATCTCACATGTGCCAAGGCAGACACTTCATCAGACTAGCAATCATCTCACCTGTGCCATGGCAGGACACTTCACCAGACTAACAATCATTTCACCTGTGCCAAGGCAGGACACTTCACCAGACTAACAATCATCTCACCTGTGCCAAGGCAGTACACTTCATCAGACTAGCAATCATTTCACCTGTGCCAAGGCAGGACACTTCACCAGACTAACAATCATCTCACCTGTGCCAAGGCAGTATGATTTCAGACTAGCTATTATATCACCTTTGCCAAAGCAGGTCACTGCTTCAGACTGGCTATCATCTAATCTGTGTCAAGGGATGTCACTTCTTCAGACTGCCTATAATCCCACCTAGGACCAGGCTGGAAGCTACTTTGGGATAGCTATTATTTCACCTGTGCCAAGGCAGAATACTACTTCAGAATAACAATCATCTCACCTTCGCCAAGGCAGGACACTACTTCAGAATAACAATCATCTCACTTGTGCCAAGACAGGACACTATTTCAGACTAACAAGCATCTCACCTGTGCCAAGGCAGGAAGGCTCCTGTTTAGATTATCTAACATAGGGCCAAAGCAGGACTATTGGGTAATTTAATTATACTCTCACCTGTGTCTAAGCAGGAGTCCTGCTTTGATTAGACCAATTATTCCATCACCTATGCCAAGGTAGAACGTTGATCCATAAATCAGAAATAAGTACCCATTACATTAATGATGTCACTTAGTAACAAAGTATACATGACATCATGAGCGTATGGACTATAACAAGACTGTTTAATGTTTAACTGCAGAGCCAGCTGTTATCACCCAGTAAATTGGAGGCACATGCCAGGCAGGTAAGGAGAGTTTACACAGCATGTCACCTGTGTGTGCAATGTTCTATTACACCTGTCAGAAAGCTTGTAAATCATATCTAGAATCACAGCTCAATCTACCTTTCCAGGCTGAGTGCCAGCACACAATTACACTGTAATGATGGCATGCCAGTGTGTGATGCCCTGTAATACCAGCCTGGCAGTGTGTGTTACCCAGCAATACCAGCCTGTCAGTGTGTGTTACTCAGTAATACCAGCCTGGCAGTGTGTGTTACCCAGCAATACCAGGCTGTCAGTGTGTGTTACTCAGTAATACCAGCCTGGCAGTGTGTGTTACCCAGTAATTACAGCCAGGCAGTGTGTGTTATCCAGCAATACCAGGCTGTCAGTGTGTGTTACTCAGTAATACCAGCCTGGCAGTGTGTGTTACCCAGTAATACCAGCCTGTCAGTGTGTGTTACCCAGTAATACCAGCCTGGCAGTGTGTGTTACTCAGTAATACCGGCGTGGCAGTGTGTGCTACCCAGTAATTACAGCCAGGCAGTTTTTGTTACCCAGTAATACCAGCCTGTCAGTGTGTGTCACTCAGTAATACCAGCGTGGCAGTGTGTGTTACCCAGTAATTACAGCCAGGTAGTTTTTGTTACCCAGTAATACCAGTCTGGCAGTGTGTGTTACCCAGTAATACCAGCGTGGCAGTGTGTTACCCAGTAATTACAGCCTAGCAGTGTTTGTTACCCAGTAATACCAGCCTGGCAGTGTGTGTTACCCAGTAATACCAACCTGGCAGTGTTTGTTACCCAATAATACCAGCGTGGCAGTGTGTTACCCAGTAATTACAGCCTAGCAGTATGTTACCCAGTAATACCAGCCTGGCAGTGTGTGTTACCCAGTAATACCAGCCTGGCAGTGTGTGTTACCCAGTAACACCAGCATGGCAGTGTGTGTTACCCAGTAATACCAGCGTGGCAGTGTGTTACCCAGTAATTACAGCCTAGCAGTATGTTACCCAGTAATACCAGCCTGGCAGTGTGTGATTCCCAACATGTCACTTCATTAACAATCCCACCTCATGTAATTTATATCAATAATTTCACCCCACGTCTTTTATATCAATAATCCCACCCCATGTCAATAATATTAATAATCCCACCCCATGTCACATAATCAATAATCCCACCCCATGTCATTTATATCAGTAATGCCACCCCATGTCATTTATATCAGTAATCCCACCTCATAGCATTATATCAATAATCCCACCCCATGCCATTATATAAATAATCCCACCACATGTCATTATATCAATAATCCCACCCCATCTCCTTTCTATCAATAATCCCACCCATGCCATTATATTAATAATCCCACCCCATATTATTATGTCAATAATTCCACCCCATGTCATTTATATCAATAGCTCCACCCCATGTCATTTATATCAATAGCTCCACCCCATGTCATTTATATCAATAGCTCCACCCCATCTCATTTATATCAATAATCCCACCCCATCTCATTTATATCAATAATCCCACCCCATGTCATTTATATCAGTAATCCCACCCCATCTCATTTATATCAATATCACCCCATGTCATTTATTTATATCAATAATTCCACCCCATGTCATTTATATCAGTAATCCCACCACATGTCATTTATATCAGTAATCCCACCCCACATCATTTATATTAATAATCCCACCCCACATCATTTATATCAGTAATCCCACCCCACATCATTTATCTCAATAATCCCATCCCACGTCATTTATATCAGTAATTCCACCCCACGTCATTTATGTCAATAATCCCACCCCACGTCATTTATACCAGTAATCCCACCCCACGTCATTTATATCCATAATCCCACCCCACGTCATTTATATCAATAATCCCACCACATGTCATTTATATCAGTAATCCCACCCCACGTCATTTATATCCATAATCCCACCCCACGTCATTTATATCAATAATCCCACCACATGTCATTTATATCAGTAATCCCACCTCATGTCGTTTATATCAATAATCACACCCCATGTAATTTATATCAGTAATCCCACCCCACGTCACTTATATCAATAATCACACCCCATGTCATTTAAATCAATTTTCCAACCATCACAGGGTAATTATTAACTAAAGGGAAAATTCAAAGTGAATTTCAACTTTAAGGCCGGAGTAACGGAACTGAATGTTTCCAGTGTTGCTATTTTCATCTTGAATTCTCACTGTACTGAATACCCTGACAGTGTTATTCACTTAAAGGGACACTACAGTCACCCAGACCAACTCATCTCATTTAAAGGGACACTACAGTCACCCAGACCACCTCATCTCATTTAAAGGGACATCACACTATAGTCACCCAGACCACCTAATTTCATTTAAAGGGACACTATAGTCAGACCACCTCATCTCATTTAAAGGGACACTATAGTCACCCAGACCACCTCATCTCATTTAAAGAGACACTATAGTCAGACCACCTCATCTCATTTAAAGGGACACTATAGTCACCCAGACCACCTCATCTCCTTTAAAGGGACACTATAGTCACCCAGACCACCTCATGTCATTTAAATGGACACTATAGTAACCCAGACCACCTCATCTAATTTAAAAGGACACTACAGTCACCCAGACCACTGCATCTCATTTAAAGGGACACTACAGTCACCCAGACCACCTCATCTAATTTAAAGGGACACTACAGTCACCCAGACCACCACATCTCATTTAAAGGGACACTACAGTCACCCAGACCACCGCATCTCATTTAAAGGGACACTATAGTCATCCAGATCACCGCATTTCATTTAAAGGAACATTATAGTCACCCAGACCACCTCATCTCATTTAAAGGGACACTATAGTCATCCAGACCACCTCACCTCATTTAAAGGGACACTATAGTCACCCAGACTACCACATCTCATTTAAATGGACATTATAGTGGTCTCATCTCATTTAAAGGGACACTATAGTCACCCAGACTACCACATCTAATTTAAAGGAACACAATAGCCACCCAGACCATCTCATCTCATTTAAAGGAACACTTTAGTCATCCAGATCACCACATTTCATTTAAAGGGACACTATAGTCACCCAGACCAATAATTTCTTATTTAAAGGGACACTATAGTCACCCAGACCACCTCATCTCATTTAAAGGGACACTATATTCAGACCACTTCATCTCATTTAAAGGGACACTATAGTCACCCAGACCACCTCATCTCATTTAAAGGGACACTGTAGTCACCCTGACCACCTCATCTCATTTAAAGGGACACTGTAGTCACCCAGACCACTTTATCTCATTGAAGTGATGTGGGTGCAGTGTCCCTGTCCTCTTAACCCTGCTATGTAAAACTTTTGTGCTATTTAAATTGTGTTATTTTACATGGCAGTCATCTTCTAATGGCTATCAGTATAGCAGCTACTAGAGGCGCTTCCTCTTCACTGATTGTAAAACGTGGTCACGCGATGCTGAAGCCCCATAGGAAAGCATTGTGCATTAGGTTTCCAATTGGGCACCTCTATGACGATGCTGGGGAGGAGAGGTAAACATCACTGTAAACGTGTAAGTAAAACTTTTATTTACCACATTTTTATTGCCAATGGGACAGGGGGAGGGACCTAAAAAGCAGTGGAGAAAGTGGCACAATAATGTTAGGAACACAGGTTTCTATTCCTAAAACTATAGTACCTATAAGTGTGAATTGATGGATTTGAATTGAAAGAGAATTTCACATTTTTGGACAAAATATCTGAATTTTAGAAAGTATCCATTTAAAGTATGTTTTCACTTCACAAGTTTTGCATAAAATGTTAAATTCACATTTTAATAAATCACAGTTTAGTGTATGAGTCTCCATTCCGTATATAACAAATGCATATTACGAGAGGTCATATTGTTTTAGGGAATCCTCTCATCCCAGTTCGATGGGGTGGGGGAGAGCTGTATATAAGGTTTTTTTCTGCCGTCTGTTTCTCTATTTGTCCCAAACCCTCACTAATATTTGCTGTTGCACTGTCCTCCTGTCTCCAAGGGCCTAAATCCCCCTCTTTTCGCTGCTGGTGAATCTCTTTGGTTATTGATATACCATGTCCCCATCACGGACTGATCAATCCAGCCTTCTCTCATTTTCCATTCTCTTTTAATCCCTTGTGTGGCCTTTGCTCAGCCTGGCCAGCGAGGCTGACAGTCTCCCAGCATCCCTTGGGGCAGTGGATATAATGGCTATACATGCCCATGGCTTAAGAGGATTTAGTGAATGCTCTTTCAACTCTTTGTGGGCTCTCTTCCTCATCTATAGGACGTTAGGGAATTGTCTCTTGTCTCCCCCCATGGGCTCACCAGGAAATAAAGGAATGCCATTTTCACAGCGAGTTTTACGCTGGTTTTGTTTGTCGAGATGCAGATTTGACGAGGATGATGTATTCAGTGTAGGAAATAAGATCCTTTAGATGGAGATCGGCAGATAGCCGGCTATCGTATGACTGATGTAAATAACATGGCGGATGTGATCTAAGTCTTGTCTGAAAAGTAAAAAGAGAAGAAACAAGGGGGAAAAAAATCAGACTTGTAAATAATGCAGAGTTGTGAGCAGTGGGTGCCCACATTTCAGGTCCTGTGAACCCTGCACCCTTCTGACGCCCATTTATTTGTGCCGATCTAGTGGCGTCAAACAGATATCTGCATAGCGAGCAGCGTTGATACCTTTTAAAAATGTTATTATTGCTACGGAACTCTTCATGGCTGAATTACTCAAAGAAACCACAGAGAATTTCCGTAAAGGAACACGCCACGCATAGGCGTGCGCACGGGGTGTGCTGGGGGTGCCGGGGCACACCCTAATCCCCGCGGCATGCCTATGGAGTGAGACCAGCAGGGGAGATCTCAGGATCTCCCCTGTCGGCTCATGCAGAGCCAGCGCACTCTGGTCTCAGCCTCCCTCCCCACTGCAGCATGGAAGGAGACAGGAGAGGACTCCACAGACACACACACACACACACAGCACCCACATACAGCACCTTCACACATACAGCACACACACAGCACACACATACAGCACCCAGACACACACAGAACCCACACACAGCACCCACACACACAACACCCACACACACACAGCACACACACACATACAGCACCCACACACACACAGCACACGCACACATACAGCACCCACACACATACAGCACCCTCAAACACACAGGACCCTCTCACACACAGCACAGAAACAGCACCCTCACAAATACACACACAGCACCCTCACACACACAGCACACTAACAGGACCCTAACAAACACACACACGTACACACACAAACACCCTCACACACACAGCACACAAACAGCACCCTCACACACACATCACACTAACAGCACCCTCACACACAGCACCCTTACACACACACACACACACACACACACAACACCCTCAAACCACCCTCACGCAGCACACACACACACACACAACAGTGTATGTATGTGTGTGTATATATATATATATATATATATATATACAGTTGCAAGAAAAAGTATGTGAACCCTTTGGAATGATATGGATTTCTGCACAAATTGGTCATAAAATGTGATCTGATCATCATCTAAGTCACAACAATAGACAATCACAGTCTGCTTAAACTAATAACACACAAATAATGAAATGTTGCCATGTTTTTATTGAACACACCATGTAAGCATTCACAGTGCAGGTGGAAAAAGTATGTGAACCCTTGGATTTAATAACTGGTTGAACCTCCTTTGGCAGCAATAACTTCAACCAAACGTTTCCTGTAGTTGCAGATCAGACGTGCACAACGGTCAGGAGTAATTCTTGACCATTCCTCTTTACAGAACTGTTTCAGTTCAGCAATATTCTTGGGATGTCTGGTGTGAATCGCTTTCTTGAGGTCATGCCACAGCATCTCAATCGGGTTGAGGTCAGGACTCTGACTGGGCCACTTCAGAAGGTGTATTTTCTTCTGTTTAAGCCATTCTGTTGTTGATTTACTTCTATGCTTTGGGTCATTGTCCTGTTGCAACACCCATCTTCTGTTGAGCTTCAGCTGGTAGACAGATGGCCTTAAGTCCTCCTGCAAAATGTCTTGATAAACTTGGGAATTCATTTTTCCTTACTTCACAGTTTGGATGAGGTTTTGATGTTGGTGTGCTGTGCCTTTTTTTTGTGTTTCTTCCAAACAACTCAACTTTGGTTTCATCTGTCCACAGAATATTTTGCCAGTACTGCTGTGGAACATCCAGGTGCTCTTGTACAAACTGTAAATGCAGCAATGTTTTGTTTGGACAGCAGTGGCTTCCTCTGTGGTATCCTCCCATGAAATCCATTCTTGTTTAGTGTTTTACGTATTGTAGATTCGCTAACAGGGATGCATTTGCCAGTGACTTTTGTAAGTCTTTAGGTGACACTCTAGGATTCTTCTTCACCTCATTGAGCAGTCTGCGCTGTGCTCTTGCAGTCATCTTTACAGGATGGCCACTCCAAGGGAGAGTAGCAGCAGTGCTGAATTTTCTCCATTTATAGACAATTTGTCTTACCGTGGACTGATGAACAGCAAGGCTTTTGGAGATACTTTTATAACCCTTTCCAGCTTTATGCAAGTCAACAATTCTTAATCATAGGTCTTCTGAGAGCTCTTTTGTGCGAGGCATCATTCACATCAGGCAATGCTTCTTGTGTAAAGCAAACCCAGAACTGGTGTGTGTTTTTTATAGGGCAGGGCAGCTGTAACCAACACCTCCAATCTCATCTCATTGATTGGACTCCAGTTGGCTGACATCTCACTCCAATTAGCTCTTGGAGATGTCATTAGTCTAGGGGTTCACATACTTTTTCCACCTGCACTGTGAATGTTTACATGGTGTGTTCAATAAAAAACATGGCAACATTTCATTCTTTGTGTGTTATTAGTTTAAGCAGACTGTGATTGTCTATTGTTGTGACTTAGATGATGATCAGATCACATTTTATGACCAATTTGTGCAGAAATCCATATCATTCCAAAGGGTTCACATACTTTTCTGGCAACTGTATGTGTGTATGTGTATATATATATATACAGTGGTGTATCCTGGTTTTGTGCTGCCCTAGGCAGGACAAAACTCAGAGGCCCCCCTCCCACCGCGCCACCCCCACCCAACCCTTCCCCCCCACCCCACCTTCTAAATACACACACACACAGTCAGACACACACACAGTCAGACAGTCAGACACACACACACACACACAGTCAGACACACACACACACAGTCAGACACACACACACACACAGTCAGACACACATACACACAGTCAGACACACAGTCAGACACACACACACACACACAGTCACACATGCACACAGAGTCAGACACACACACACACAAACACAGACAGACACACAGTCAGACAGACACACACACAGTGAGACACACACACACAGCCATACACACACACACACACACACACAGACACACAGACACACAGTCAGACACACAGACACAAACACACACACACTCTAACACTTTTTTTTTTAATTTAACCGCCCCCCAGCCTCCTTACCTTTGGGAATGCTGGTTTTTTTTTTCTTTCTCCCTGGGGTCCAGTGGCTGCTGGTCAGGCTGATGGGCTGACTGCTGGGCGTGCGGCTGGCGAGGGAGCACTTCCTCTGAGCTGTCTGCTCAGCTCCCTCGCGCGCCGCAGAGTGAGGCTGGGAGCCGGAATTTGACATCAGAGAGGAAGTGCTCCCTCGCCAGCCACCCGCACAGCGCCCAGCATATCTGTTAGCTGCAAGGCTAACAAGGCATGTGCCCTGGGCATTTGGGGGCGGCGTTTTTTGCCGCCCCCTGGAAAATACCGCCCAAGGCAAATGCCTTGTTTGCCTCGCGGCTAATACGTCCCTGTATATATATATATATATATATATATATATATATAAATATACAAAGAATGATAGGAGTTGCACTCCAGCTCTCCTTATAAATTGCCTGGTGCTCGGCTGCACAAATGTATAGTTTTAGAAAAAAAGTCAGCACTCAAGGACTTTCAATGTACTAAAAGAATTTCAAAAAAAACCTTTTAATCCAGTTGTTCAAAGAGGTCAACGTTTCAGTCCATCGTCGTGGACTTTCATCAGGACATATATATATACACACACATACATATACACGCGGCGTGTGTTTGTGCTTTAGGGTGCACACCCTAATGCAATAGGCTGCGAACGCCTATGACGCCAAGCACCATCACCACTACAGCTAGACCAAGGAAATCTAGCAATAGTGTTCACCCATTTCTCATTTTTTCTTCTTTCTCACATTTTTTTTTTTTTTTATGCCTTTCATTTCATTTAATGTTTACACACCATGAGCTAGGAGGTTCTATTAATGGGACACTCTGCCCCCCCTCAATCCCCCCCCCCCAAAAAAAATAGGCTATTTAGCAAATATACCCCAAATAATCCATTTAAAGTTACACTCCAGTGCTCAAATACAGAAATAGATAAATAAATAAATACATGTCTACAGTAGATATGCCTCAGATTAAAACATACATGTATTTATAATTTTTTTCATTTGGGATAAATCTAAGAACATCTTTCTAAGCTGTGGTTCTCTTGTCTGAAGAATCACAGACAACTGGGAACAATGCAGCTCAATGAGAAGTCTTTGCAAGGCAGGGGCTCGTGGCAATTGCTGCCTCTTGAGTTTGGCTCCACTGAGCTAACCAAACCAGGAAGTAACAGGATCGGGTGTCTCATTGACAGCCATGGGGGTGTAACAAGGTTTATTTACAAAAGTGTCAATTTCTATTGAAATCTGTACTTTTTGTAAAATGAAAAAAGAGGACACATTCTTCACACATAAAGCACTTCAGCAAGATAAAGTGGTTTTGGTGTTTGGAGTATCTATTTAAAAGTGCAAAGGTTTACTCCGCTTACAAAATGGCAATAGACCTCAGTGGATGAATTGCTATTCATTAAAGGGACACTATAGGCACCCAGACTACTTCATCTCATTGAAGTGGTCTGGATTCAGTGTCCATGTCACGCTTAGTCCTTAGTTTTTGAGAAACTGCAATGTTCACATTTTACATTATTATTATTATTCTATTATTTATATGGCGCTAGCAAATTCTGTAGCGCTGTACAATTTTGCAATACTAAGACTGCTTTTAGTGGCTGTCTACCAGACAGCCACTAGAGGCGCTTGCTGAATTTTTATGGAGTTGGACTCCATGTAACAACGCTGGATGTCCTAACGCTCTGCATGTAGATACCCGGCATTAGAGAAAACACTATATGAAAGCATTGCCTCACGCATGTACAATCGCTCCCCCCATCCGCTGACATCAGATGAGGCGGAGTGTGACCTAGCACCGAGGGTTATCAGGTAAGGTAAAAAAGGTTTTTTGTTAACCCTTTATGTGCCACGGGAGTGGAGGGGGCGTATGAGGGAGGAGGTGAGGGCAGAGGGCACTATAGTGTTAGGAATACAGATTTTTATTTCTCACACTATAGTTTCCCTTTAAGCAGGGTTAACCCCTACTCTGCTAAGAGAATCCAGCCCATGATCTTTTAAGATTGTATATTCAGGATGGCAGGATGATGGGAATTAGAGACTGTTTGACGATATTAATGAGAAATCCGTGCTTCCCAAAATAAAGATAGTGAAAGCAAGAAAATACATAGTATTTAAAAAATAGCAAACAAACTTGTTTTCCTGGCACTATATAGTCCTTAGTTTCCCCCACCCTCATGGCCCCCCTCCCGCTGGGCTAGAGAGATTCACACCCCTTCAGCCACTTACCTTTATCCAGCGCCGGGCTCCCTCAGCGCTGGTGTCCCCTCCCTCCCCACCCGTTGGAGCCAAATGCGCATGCGCGGCCAGAGCCACACACGCATTAAAAACGCCCATAGGATAGTATTACTTAATGCTTTCCTATGGACGTCAACGTCTTCTCACTGTGATTTTCACAGTGAGAATCGGGGAAGCGGCCTCCAGTGGCTGTCAGTGAGACAGCCACTAGAGGCTGGATTAACCCCAGTGTAAACATAGCAGTTTCTCTGTTTACAGCAGACAGGGTTGAAACTAGAGGGACCTGGCACCCAGACCACTTAATTGAGCTGAAGTGGTCTGGGTGCCGATATTGGTCCTTTAAAAGTTTGTTTGCTGTGAAAATGTTCTAGAACTACTAAAATGAACTTTAGTGGTTATGGGGCTTGGAGAGTGTCTTTAATTGCTCTCTTTCACTTACACCTAGAAAGTTATCTGTCCCGGAACAAAGCATGTCTGAGGTGAATTAGCTGCTATTTATTGATTTTATATCATTACATTACCTGTGTTTACTCACCTGCAGCACACCTGCTTTTGTCTTTTTATAACTACATAATGACAAATCCGTATCTCTGTCAACTCTATCTATCTATCTATCTCTCTATCTATCTCTCTATCTATCTCTCTATCTGTCTGTCTATCTATCTATCTATCTGTCTGTCTGTCTGTCTATCTATCTATTTATTTATCTATCTACCAGTGGTGTCTGTCTATCATTCTACCTGTCTCTTTTTTTCTACCAGTCTGTCTGTCTTTCTGTCTACAAACCAAGCTGTCTGTCTATATACCAACTTCTATCGGTCTATCCACCAACCCGTCTGTCTATCTAACAGTCTTTCTATCTATCAACTTTTCTGTCTGTCCATCTGTCAATATGTCTCTCGATTTATCTAACATTTATTTAACAGTTAAATATTTAAATTATTAAATGTTAAATAGTTATAAACTTATTTATCTAACAGCCTCTCTGTCAACCAAACAGACTGTTCGATAGGCTGTCTGTCTGCCAATTGATCCTCCTGTCCGTCTGTCTTTTGATGTACCAGTTGTTCTGTTTGTCTGTCTGTCTATACACCAACCTGTTGCAGAACATTGCGGTTGTCAGGTAGGTTAATGTTGCAGAGCCTCACAGCAGACAGATACCAACATTCATAACAGAACATTGCAGCTGGCAGATACTCTGTTTAATGCTGCAGAGCGTTGCAGCCATTTTTAGATGAAGGATCCTTGTTTACTTTCAAACAAAGGCTGTCAACGTAGGCTCGCTCTATAGGAATAGTCACAATAGACCAATATAGAAGACGGTAAAAACCGACGAAAAGAAAAGAAAAGAAAAATTAAAAAAAACAGGAGTGTCTTACAAAGTAAGACCCCAGAACGAATTTGCCGAGGATCTTGAACGGTGATGTGCGTCGCTGCCGTCAATGCAATGTCCTATTTGGTTAATGGACCTGTTCATGGCAGGATAAGGCTATTAATAAACTGTCCATTGAGTCCGTATTCCCTGTGCACTCAGGACAGATTACTGCACAAAGGGGCATTGTTAATGGAAAGCCAGCACAGTACTGTATTGTGCGCAGCCGACTCTATCTCGCGCCCGGCGCACCATGGATATTGTAATAACTGGATGTTATCAGCATTTCCCAGCCACTGTTTATTCCTGTTTTTCTTGTTATATGGACACTGATTCAGCTGCCGCCAAGTTAAACCTGGATTTCAGAATTTCACGCTACTGGGTCTGGGCGAAGATTTCAGGTAACAAGACCCGGCGCTAAGCTTTCGTTAGACAATAAAACATTCACCGACAACGACTAAGCAACAAAAAAAAAAATCAGATTTGCCCAGTCTTCTCTGTTGTAAAGAAGGATTTTAAATAGAGCTATTTTCTCTGAATTTATTGGTTAGTTCTTCTGGTCATTAAAAGTAACAGAAACGTTGGCGGCTTTTTAGAAGATAACTCTATTTAAAATTTACTCTCAGGAGTAATGTTACTTTCTGTTTAGAATGGTAATAATATAATCTATGCCTTTCTTGTTTTTCACTGTAAATAACTTTTGTACCTTTCCGGTAAGATTTTCTTTGAATTACTGTTGTATAGATCATTCCATTAATTAGCTATTAAAAAGTATTACACTATTTTATGGCTGTCTCTTATGCCACTTTTATTTTTTTATCTCAAAGTGTCTGCGTAGTAGATTCACTGTGGCGGCACAAAATCTGTCCCAACATACAAAGAAAATATATACTGTAAGTGCGTGGAGATCCGAAGTGCAATCAAGTGCAGGCAGCCTCCAAAATCAGGATCACTCCCCAGTCCTACCAAAATGACAAACAAAAAAAATCCTGAAAAAATCAGCCCAAATGAAACACGTTGAGTGGAGGACCCCACAAGGTGGTCATTGGTGAGGGAATAGCTCCTGGACTCTTATCCTTTATACTTTAACTTTTCTTTCGACTGATACTTGGAGGAAACAACTGTCTACTGTCCGGTGGGACTAAGCCTACGTAGGCTGCAAAGCGTATTACACAACTTTTAATTCATTTTAATTGTGCCATGTTTTATGTGAGAGTTCTTTTTGTAATTTTTATCCACTGAGTTATATTAAAAATATTGCACTATGATTTATTTTCCTTTTGTTTTCTATTCTATGTCCAAGTGGTAAACATACTATCACACCTGGTGACAGTGGTGACCTATATTGTGTATAAAGTGGTTTTATATGCATATTTTTGTTTGGCATATACAAATAAGAAGAGAAGAGAAGAAAGACTACTTTTAAAGCACTTTAGGAAATAGGAAGAGATTTCGTACACGCCTGAAACCACACTGCTTACGAAGAATCTCCACGCGCTATTTGAACCTACTCAAAATGGTAACGTATGAATTACGGTGCAATTTCTGACACTTTTGGGTTATTTGCTAAACTGGATATTATGAACATTTTTATATTTTAGGTCAAATATCTGAAAGTGGAAACATTTTGGAAATCTTAAAGGCAGTTTCCGAGATTGTAAACGTGTCTGTGCCGCGGGGCAATGGTTTTGCAGCTCTCCATCAATTGTTCAAGTAGCGATTCAGCAAAGTGCATCAATATCGCAGATAAAATGTTCCGTCAGTGAAAGTTTCCTCCAGAGATAATTATAGTTTCATTAAATTAAACAAGTCATTAGTCTGAAGCACTGTACACAGCTCTGTGTGCAGAGAGAGTCTCCTTTCCAAGGAGAGCTGTGTACAGGGTTAGGACTCCCTGCATTTAATCAATGCAGAGCTTTTAGAGAAAGACCATATTTTACTTACAATCCGCTCTCTGCCGCGTTTCTCCTTCTATAAGTAACTCAAGTGTGCTGGAAAGGGGTGGAGGGGAGGGGTTTAAGGATTATGGGCTAATATGCAGCTTGCGCCCTGATATCTACAGTTGTACATCTTAAACTGACAAGTTAAGTAGGGTTTTATCCACTAAACAGTAAACTAAAAACCACATTTCAAAATGTATTCTGAAGTAGCCTAGTTGTGACTATGACAGAGTTGGAGAATGTATCCAAATTAGGATTTTTTCCCTAGATTTCACAGTCTAGTTTTTAATTCACTACAATTTGGTGTTTAGTTAAAAAAAAAACAATTTATGTCAAGAACATGAATTCCTGACACTATACTCCTGAAATAGCTGTTTAGGTGTGTGTCCCTACGATCTCAGTAAAAAGGTGATTTTACTCCCCTTTTCTCCCTCGTCAATGATCATAGGAAAGCGTTGGGAGGTTATTGCATATGCGCAGCAAAACGCAGCATTACGCCAATCAGCATCTCCTCATTGAGATGCATTGAATGTAGGGGGAACATCCAGCGCCTCCATGCTGAGTGTGGAGACGCTGAACGTATGTGCTGCACACTGTGCGGCACTGGACTAGGAAGCACCTCTAGTGGCCGTCTGAGTGACTGTCACTAGAGGTGTTACTAAACAGCAATGTAAACACAGCCTATTTCTCTGAAAAGGCAGCGTTTACATTGCTCAATTTCAGAGACATGCCATAGTCACCATAACCACAACATTAAGCTGTAGTGTTTCTGGTGACTATGGTGTCCCTTTAAAAACCTTTTGCTGTCATGTTATTATATTTTTATAGAATATGCATTATATTTTCATGCTACATGATACAGAGAGAAATTAAGATATCACAGGGCCCTGGGCTGTAGGCAGACACATTGGGTCACCTTATAGTTACTCCTGCTCTGTAATGATCACTAACAGTATTTATTCACTAAAATATGAATTCTGGAGACTTGATATGAAAATTGCAAATGTTAAAATATAATAACTAAAATAAATTCACCAAACCTGTAAAAAAACTACGATAGCAGTCTGCCCTGTGCATAATTTTCTTTTATTATTAATAATATTAGGTAATTATTAGCAAAACATTTGTTGCCGGAGACTCTTTCCCCCTTATCTCTAGCAGTAAAGAGGGTGCAGATGAGTTTTGCTCATGCCGGTATTTTGTATAATTCTCTTTGAAATCACTTTAAAATCCAGATAAGTCACGTTTTCAAAAATAACGCTGCATATATTCCTATCTATGTATAGACGCAATGTAAAAACTGTATACTGTAGGCATTATAATTGCTTCATCTCATTGAAGTGGTTGAGTTCCTGGCGCCATCCATCCAATTAGCATTAAACCATTTGAGACTTTTACACCCCTTGTAAAAACGGGAGGGAGCCCATGACGTGTCCCAGAATGCCACACTTTCTTAAAGAAGTGACACCTCCTCTGACATTTATAGGGACACTTACTACCCCCTCTACCCCTTCCATTCATATTACTACCCTATCCCTTCCGTTCATATTACTACCCTATCCCTTCCGTTCATATTACTACCCTCCATACCCCTTCCGTTCATATTACTACCCCCCCTTACCTCTACTGTTCATATTACTACCCCCACATACCCCTTCCATTCATATTACTAACCCCCTTACCCCTTCCGTTCATATTACTACTCCCCATACCGCTACCGTTCATATTACTACCCCCCTATACCTGTAATATTTCATTCATATTACTACCCCCCTATACCTGTAATATTTAGTAATATTTCATTCATATTACTACCCCCCTATACCTGTAATATTTAGTAATATTTCATTCATATTACTACCCCCCTATACCTGTAATATTTAGTAATATTTCATTCATATTACTACCCCCCTATACCTGTAATATTTAGTAATATTTCATTCATATTACTACCCCCTATACCTGTTTCGTTCATATTACTACCCCCTCCTATTCATATTACTATCAGGGCCGTCTTTAAGGAGGGGCAAAAGGGGCAGCTGCCCCGGGCCCAGTTACTCCTGGGGGCCCTAAGGCAGCTGCCCCATGGGCCCCCTGCGGCACCTGAGGTAATCAGGGGCCACAGCCCTTTAATACTGCTCTGGACAGGCCCGGGCCCCTGTTATATGGGGGGTGGCTGACTACATACTCACAGCTAGCCCCTCACATACTGCTCTGTGAGCCTCTTTGTTTCCTGGGCATGCTGGGAGGCAGTGAGGTCAGATTGCTTCCTCCCAGTAAGAACTGATCACTTCCTCCTCCGTGCCGCTGGGGAGGAGTATGCAAGCATTGTGGGGGTGAGGGACTGAGAAAGCTGATGGCAGACTCCCATCAGCCTGGGCCAGCAAGCTCTCACTGGACCCCAGGGAAGCCACCTTTCTGTACCCAAAAGGTAAGGAGACAGGAGGGTGGCTAAATATGTTTTGTTTTTTGTTTAGCTAATTTCTGATATCACTTTTATTTAAGTGTGTTGGTGTTTGTAATGTAACACACAGGGAATAAGTACATGTTAAAAATCCTAGAAGAACCTGACAGTTCCCTATTAAATATAAATTTAAAAAGTATTTATTTTAACATATTGCATCAAGTGTTATCAAAGGCTGTACACCATTTTCAAATGTCACTTTTGCCAAATTCTGGACCAGGGTACGTAAGAACAGAGTTGAGACATTATATTGGCCAAGGTTGCTGGGAGTTGCTGTCCAAGAGCTGCTAGAAGGCAGAGATTAAAATATGTAAATGTACACATATATATGTGTGTATCTGGCTGTGTTTATGTCCTTGTGTGTATCTGGCTGTGTTTATGTCCTTGTGTGTATCTGGCTGTGTTTGTCTGTGTGTCAGTGTTTCTGTGTGTATGTATACCTCATACACCTGTATGTGCACCTGTGTGTGTGTTTCGGTGTGTGTGTAAGTGTGCATCTGAGTGTGTGGTAATGCATACATCCCAGCATTCTAATGCCAACACAAATACACTCCTACATTCCATCTCTAGCACTGTACACATATACACCCCTGCATTTATACCTTTATGTATGTGTGTATCTGAGTGTGTGTGAATATACCTGTGTCAGTGTGTGTGTGTGTATGTGCCAGTGTGTGTATATCAAAGTGCTTGTATCTGTGTGTCAAAGGGTGCGTATCTGAGTGTGTGTGTATGTGTATGTGCCAGTATGTGTCAAGGTGTGAGCATGTGTCAGTGTGAGCATGTGTGTATCTGCGTGTTAAAGAAATCACACAACATGCAAACAGAACCCTGCAAACACAAACATTACAAACACACCAGTTTGCTGAAACGCTAATACTACACACAAATGTACACATGTATTTAAAAGACAACACTACGTCCAAACACCCCCTGCATGCAAATACAAACATTACATGCAAACACATTCCTGTATGAAAACGCTAAAATTATATACAAACACCAACTCTACACACAAAAGTACACCTGCATTTAAAAGCCAACACTACAAACAATCCCTGCATTAAAATTCAAACACTACACACAAGTACACCACTGCATTCCAATGGTAACAGTACATACAAATACACCCCTACATGCACACATACACTCTATACAATAACATGCTGACATTCAATTGCACAAACACTGCTCAAAAATACAACCCTGCAAGGATGGTAGATCCCCACCTGGCATAGCATCACAGGAGTTGTATGACAGATGGGGATCTATCTTTTCTTTACTCTTGTGCTACAGGGCAGGCCTGAATTTTTTTTTGTTGCACCAAGGCACTCTCTACATTAGTTTCGCCTCTAGGTTGGGGTGGAGGGAGTGATTTCATGCCCAGGGGGCCCAAACAAATGCTTGCCCTGGGTCCAATCAATATTAAAGACGGCCCTGATTACTATGCCCCCACAGCCCCACTCCCTCTCGTTGTATTAGTAGCACCCTTACCCATTCATTAATATTAGTTCCCCCTCCATTCATATTAATACCCCCTCTTACCCTCCTCCATTCATATTTGTTCCCCCTCGTAACCCCCTCCATTCATATGTGTACCCCCTTCTACCCCCCTCTATTCATATTTGTACCCCCTCCTACCGCCCTCCATTCATATTAGTACACCCACCCCCTCCATTCATATTGGTACCTCCTTCTACCCCTATTAGTACCCTTCCACCCGCCTCCATTCCTATTAGTAGCCCCTTCCTATTAGTAGCCACCCGCGCTCCTATGCAGAGCGGGAGGGGGAGGAGCTCCACCTCCCAGTGT